TAAAATTTTCTAAACTGCCAATTTAGAAAAACAAGAAATGAGAATTAAGATTCTTGTATTATTGATATAGAAAATAAAAGCAATAAAACTAACTGTTATCTATATTACCAACATAGAAAAATTAAAACTAATTATTATTTATATTATCAATATAGAAAAATGAAAAATAATGAATAGAATTTTATATAATATCAAATATAGAACAAATGTTGACTGTACTTGTTCTAAAATAAGACTGAAGTTTATGTGCAAAAAAAACGAAGCAACGTAGCTGATAAGACTGATCATTTCCATGTGTATAAGAGATATTTGAGAAGTTTGATTTAATTGAAATAAATCTATAGTATTAATAAGCATTTCATGTAGCTCTATGCCATCATCTATTAGTAGAATACAAAATTATCTACTCGAATTTTATATCTCCCAATCTCTTTGATTTAAAAAGCAGAAAGTATTGTTTTGTTTCTGACTCTCATCTTCGAGTTGTTTGACACATAATTAAAAGTCTCATACCGTTTGACATGTATTTGTTTTTTGTCGATGGAAGAAAAGAAATAATACTAAAATGTACTTTCTTCCAATTGCACTGAGACATTAAACATATTAAAAATACATGACATTACATGTAATAAAAATGAAAATTGATTAAATAGTATTAAATTTAATCAAGATCTCGATTATAGCTGGATTCTTCATAGACAAATTAAAAAGGATGAAATTATTTAAATTATTTTTAGGGAATTTATAAAACTGCATGTCATTTTTTATTAACTTCATCAGTTCTGTAACTGTCCATTCAAGATATAATCATAGAAGTATTGTTTCTAGTCTAAAGCTCAAATCAATATCAATAACAACCTTTAGAAAATTCTAGACCAACAAAAAAAACTTTCTTCTAAGATTTAACCAGTTCAGAATGCGATACAATAACAATTTGAAGAAGAAATCTTCACACTTATTACTATTGAGAATAGCTAAAATCATGATGAAATCTTTTACGATCGTTGCTTTTTTGTGAGAATGCCCAAAAATTTATACCTATTGAATAACTTACAAAACAAAAACTTGTAAAGATTTTAGATTAAGGTTTCGATAGGAGATTCGTATTGTCTTGTAAAGAAGCGAAAATATTTAATTGTAGAAAGATCGAAATCGATCCTTGATCGAAACTGCTATTGTTTAAAAAACCGTGTTCCATACACCGACACCCGATTAAGTTGAAAATTTGTAATACATTAGAAATGAATTCAAAATAAAAGATTTGATTGATTCGTATATAGATTATTATTTGTGCTACAATGCAGAATAATGAACATGACAGATTCTTCAAATATTCTTGAACTTGGGAGAGATTTGTTTTTGAGTTCTTCTTATCTACTAAAATTCGAACTTACGTATTATTTTATCTAAACTTATCTTATTTAGTACTTCAATTAGTCTTTCTACAAACTACTTGTTTGTTTGAGATTCAGGAATAAATTACTCAATAATAAGTATGATGCAAAATTAATGGCATAAAATACTTTCGAATGGTGTATAATTTATATTTGTCACACATTCGGAAATGGAATAAGAAAGAAAAATACTTACACAAAAAATTTGTAATTTTTTTATATGAATCAGTCAAAAAATGTCTTATGCATGGTAGTTAAGTATAACTAACTATCGTTATTATCTAGCAAGATGTTTTTAACGAATTCATACAAAAATTGTAAATTTATTTTGTCTCATTTCACTCAGAAATGTGTGACAAACATAAATCATACACCGTTTCCTATCAACTGATAACAAAATTGTTTTTCCTTACGTTTAAATTCTATTATAACTCATTTTATTGTAAAATCCAAACAATAAAAAATGAAATAATTTTTAAATATATTTCAAACTCGAACTAACGAAATCAGTGAATATGTTGGAAAAATTTGATATAAAAGAAAATTTCGTTTACGATAAAATTCGAGTTCATCGCAATTTTTCACATTATCAGTTAAATTTTAGTTAGTTTCAAAATATTTGAAAACGTCAACAATATTTGTTTTCAACATTGAGAAAAGCCAGATTCTAATCAAGTTCATAAGTAAAAAGCTTTTGTAATTGAGAGCAGTTCAATACTGTTTAAAACAAATGAGAATGATTCATTTCAATGAAATTGATGTTTATTTCTACTTCATACTTTTGTTTCATTTTAGTACCAATGCGTGCAAGTTCCAACGATATTCATCCGAATGCAAAATGGACACAGAATAGTATCACTGTTGCTGGAGGAAATGGAAATGGCAGTGAAACAAATCAAATCCATAACCCATTCGGTTTGTACGTCGACGATGATCAAACGATTTATGTCGCTGATTGTTATAATCACCGTATTGTGGAATGGAAATCTGGTGCAACGAATGGAAAAGTAGTTGCTGGTGGAAATGGACAAGGAAATGGAGCTCATCAGTTAAACTACCCACCAGATGTAATTATCGACAAAGCGAGCGATAGTCTCATCATCAGCGATTTCTCGAATAGCAGAGTAGTTCGATGGCCTCGTCGAAATGGTACTAGTGGAGAAACAATTATTTCAAATATCTCTTGCTACGGTTTGACAATGGACGACAATGGTTATCTCTATGTCGCTGACAATGGAAAACATGAAGTGAGACGATATAAAATTGGTGACACTAAAGGAACAGTAGTTGCAGGTGGCAATGGAGAAGGAAATCGTCACGATCAACTCTCTAAGCCCACCTACGTATTTGTCGATCGAGATCATTCAGTTTATGTGTCTGAATGGGAAAATCATCGTGTAATGAAATGGAAAGAAGGTGCAAAACAAGGCATTGTCGTAGCCGGCGGTCAAGGACAAGGAAATAGTCTTACACAGTTCAATGGTCCTGCAGGAGTCGTTGTCGATCAATTGGGTACTGTCTATGTGGCTGATTTCAGGAATGATCGAATCATGCGTTGGCCAAAAGGAGCCACACAAGGAAGTGTCATTATTGGTGGAAACGGTGCAGGAGCACGGTCAAATCAACTCGCTGGTCCCATAGGTTTATCATTTGATCGACATGGTAATCTCTATGTCGTCGATTGCGTAAATAATCGAGTACAAAAATTTAATATCGAATGAAATTCAATACGATGATGAATTTTATTTTTTTGTTCTCTTTCTCTTTCAAATAAATCGTGATTGAATGAAAAAAATGATTTCATAGCTATTCTATTCTCTTCGCGCGCGCGCGACCAGGAACCACCCTGGTGGAGCCGCGGCGAGCGTAATGCTCATGCACGCGCGGGAAGACCCACATCATCCACATGCATCCATCCGATGTCATATGTCAGTGAGTCTGGGGGCCCGATCGTGTGCCACGGACCAGAGATGGTCATCTCCATGGTAACAGGGCATAGGGTCGCTACTGTCGATGGGAAATGCAATAGACAGTAGCGACCCTATGCCCTGTTACCATGGAGATGACCATCTCTGCCACGGACACCAAGACAGTTCCTGGCCAGGCTTTTAGGGACTACCCGGAAGTCCTTCTTATAAAGCGAAACCCTAAACTCAACGTACCTCACTCACCCTAACTAGTCTCATCTGAACGAAGAAAAGAAAAAGAAAAAAAAATTAACTTACCCGTCGATGTTGAATGATGGCAGCTTTAAAAGGAAAAGAAAAACATGAATATAAAAGATCACAAGAGGGCTTACCACCCTCTGTATGATCCAATAAAGAAAAAAGAAGAAAAAAGATAGAAACTGATACCTACATTTTTTTATTGTGTTGTATTGATTTGAATTGTATAATTTTGTGTCGTCGAAATCATTCTAAAATATAAAAAGAAAAGATTAATATTTGATTCAATAAATTGAATGATTTTACATAGAAAATCATTCATATTTATATGTTAAAAATCGATAATTTTGTTTGTTTTTTTTCTCGTCAGAGAGTGATGAAAAGATGATAGTAATTAAGCAATCGTCAACATACACACATACATTGATATGCACATGGATTATGTCATATTATCATTGATCATCAATGATAACATGAACAATGACGACTTACGGACGAGAGAAGAAAAGAAAAAAAGATTGTTGTGACCTATATTATTTTTTTCATTCTTCTCTTGCTTCCATGTTCAGTTGTGAGCACGAAACAGACGAGCACACAATATTCAAGTATGTTCATATCATTCACTACTTTTTTTGTTCTGTTCCATAGATCAACTTTGGGATATGAATAAACAGTTTATTTTATTTTAGTTCAATTTAAATGAAATCATTGAAAAATGATTGATATTGAATTTTAACAGTTCATTCAACATTAAATTTATTTGCTACTGGTAAGATTCTTTTCATTTTCAAAAATTAAAAGTAAAATAAAATATTTGTTTGCTAGGTCATGATAATCAAATATTCACGACGATTGGAAATTAGAACATCAAAAGGTATTCCTCTTATATAATTACAAAGGTAAATTTTTAAAAATAAATTAATTGTTTTATTTTATTTGAAAATACTGTGAATGATCCACGTTCGAAAGATGCTAGTGAATCAAGAAATTCAATATAAAACTCTGAATGATATGATTTATTCGAATTGAACGTTAGGATTTTAAACAGGTCTAACATTTCAAAAACAGAAGGATATTTTATCTAAATTGTTCGATATTTTAAATGTATATTCTTCTTTTCCAGTATGTGAAGGTCGCCGTTCGTCTGATTTAAATGCTATATGGGTTGCTTTAAATCTTTTTTATGGATTTTAATACAGCATAAAAAAAAGTTTAATTAGCAAATTGTAATGAAATTTTTTATGCTGATAGAGGTCTTTATTAATTCATGAAAATGATCATATTAATATGTATGATGCTTAACAAAAATGTTCATTTTGCAAGTGTAAGAAGAGGCAAAGTTAAATATACAATGTGGTCAAATGATACGAATTATTTATCATTGTTAGCATGATTAAGGTGTTTTCTTCATACAACATCAAATCATATTAAGTATGAACTTATGAATGGTGATCATGGAATTATTTATACACTTGATTTATATATTTATATACAAAAGTTGAAGTAATAGAAAATACGATGAAGTAAAATTTACAAATTTCTTTTCAAAAATCTTCATCTTGAAAACAAATGATGCAAAAACAAGATTTGGCTTAGCACTTGAATATAGAAATATTGATGTAAATTATTTGTGATTTTTTTTAAATAGTTTCAATTATCTATTTTTTGAAAAATGATGAAAATTAGTTTGAAAAATTTCTTATTGTTTAGCTGAAGTACGAAAAGATGTTAGTAGACAATTTCAAATTGCAATCTTATTAGGGGATGCTGAAGAACATATGAAATTTCTTAGACAATGCAATCAAAGTAACGTTTTATATTTTTTTTCTATGAGATTGAATTATGTTATGTCTTTTTTTATACAATAGAATCATTTAATGAAAAAGTAATCTATTATGGATAAAAAAATACTCTCATGTTAATACTTCGTCCGAGATGGTTTAAAAAAAAATTAAAGCAATTGACAATGTTTTATTTTTCGTTTTCTATTATCTTCAATTGAAAGTCTTCAAAATTAGTTATAGATTTTCGTGTAAATATGCCAATTTGAGATATTAAATAATTTCTAAACAATTCTTAATTGTATTCAACACATCATTTATCTAAAGAGTTTTCTGTACTGTTGTATAAAGAAGTTTATGATGATTCTCGAAGTTTATTGCGACATTGAATGATAACATGTTCTTTTTAAAAGACATTTCAAATAATCACCATGTCATAGCTAGTTTAGTTTATTTTCTCTGATTGATATTCATTAGAATGTAAATTAAAAATAGAATAAGAAGAATTTTTATGTTCTATTTCAAAAATGGTATAAGCCGGTAGACTGAGATTTTAACAAAGTTATTACTATTACTTGTTCTTTGTTCAATTGATATGTTAAATATGAAATAATAAGATAGACATACATTTAATCAATATTAATCTCGTGTTAAATTTAGTAATTCAAAATAAAATATTTATTTATTTCAGTTACCTGAAATAAATCTACATGCTAAATTAATTTTATCACCATGTTCAATAAGTCAACAAGAATCAAAGCAAATTTAATATCCAACATAACAGCAAAACTTGTTTTAAATCTTCATATTAATGAAGCAGCAACAAGTGATTGAGATTGGGCTGATGATGAAGTACCAATTGAAAGTGATGACGATGATCTTAATAATAATCAAGATGAAGGTTGAGGTGATATTGAAATTGAATTATCACCTGATCTTGTATGTTTTTATTCAAATATATTCACGTTCACGTACAGCTTTTACAGCACTTCCATCATTATCATAATTATATACATATTTCATTAAGAAATTGGTTTGTATTTGTTCATTTAATAAATATTTTAAAATTTTTATTTTAATTATTAAGACGTGAAATCCATTCACCAAAACTATTTTATCCAGCAGTTGGACGTCTTCAGATCGCTTATCGTTTAACAACAGATGGAAAATTTCAAGAAGCTGTTGAAAATTTTCGTTTAATATTATTATCTGTTGCATTATGTATTGTTGAATCACGTCAAGATATTCTTGAGAGTCAACAATTAACTGAAATATGTAAAGAATATATTGTTGGTTTACAAATGTTAATGGCAAAAAAAAGATTTAGCAAAAGATGATCATGACATTAAAATCTTCATTTAAGCATTTGAAATTAAAAAATTATAAAGCTGCAACAAGCTTTGCCATACGTTTATTGGAATTGGAACCAGCATCTGATGTTGCTCAATAGGTTTTTAGCTTTAGTATTAATCTTTCATTTTTGAAACCAAATATTCTCATTCTTTCTTGAATTCAACTTTGAAAGGTTTTAAAATAGACCAAAAAAAACAAGAAAGAAAACATATCTTTAATGCTTTCAAGATATTTCAAATCTGTTGATAGAAATTTTTCATGTTTTTTTTGATTTATTTGAAAACAATTGAGTTTATTCTTTGTTAAATGAAACATAATTTTGATTGAATTATTTTAGAAGACGAACAAAAAACAATACAAACTTATTTTTTGTGTTCTTTTGTTTAGACATGGAAAGTATTAAGTGTTCGTGAAAAAAATCCAATTAATGAACATCCATTAAATTATGATGAATATAATCCATTTAATATTTGTGCTGCATCCTATGTACCACATTTATCGGTAAGAAATTTAAAGATGAAACCGAATTTAATTTAAAGCAATCTTTAATTCTTGTTTAGTGAAAATTCATTATCTGATACAGCCCATTTACCGGATTTTATAGGACAATTATGTCATGTTACAAAAGCAACTGAAATTGGAATTCTAATTCTATTATCATTATTATTAACGTTTAATGTATATATTTATCATTTTGAAAAAGTAACTTATCATTAGAACATTTTTCTTTTATTTCAAGATAAAGAAATCCTTTTCTAAAACGAAAATTTAAAATCAATACATTTGTTTGAAATAAGTTTACTTCAGTAGACATTGAAATTCTGTGATAATATACAAGAATAAATAATCTCGATTTATAAAACGATATCAATGCAACTGAGTACTTTATAATTGTTTAAGAAATTTTATCGACATGATTTCATTTGATATTTGGCCTTTGCAATATCTCGATTGACTAACTCAATTAGTAACCTACGCAGATCTATTAAGTCATTAATAAGACTAAGAGATAATTAAATGTCTAGCGATATCCTTTTTTTTTTTATAGATTTCTTCATATTGAAATAAAAATAAAAATGAACATTGAGAAATAAATTTCCATTCTAAAAACTAAAATGGAAGATAATAATGATGATGATTTTCTATTCAATGGCTTATTTTTCCCAATTGAAAAAATCTTCGTTGATTTCGATTGACTTTTCTCCAGTTTCGCAACTACAGAGTTTCAAAGTAACAAAAAAAATGAAAACCTATTCTAAAAACGAATTTTCTTAAATTAATATCTTTTGTAGATAATCATTATGGTGATGAAAATCTTGATTCTACTATAGAAAAACATGGTCTTAATGGAGCATTTCCAAGAACTGTTGTAATAACAACAATGAAACGAGAAACAACACCATCGGGAAGATGCGTTATTGAAAAACAAATTCAATAATCATCAAATCAAAATGAAAATATACAAAACTGAAACAGTAAGTAAAATATGTGGAGATAAACAGCTTTTTTGTTAAATAAAAGATTTTTGTTCAAATGATCTACTAAAAATAAATAAAAGAAAATATTATTCGAGTTTGTTTTTTTTGTTTTGAAAAAAAAACATGTAGTTGTCTCCCTGTTTTTTACTCAATATAGTTTATTTTTTCTGCTTCATCAAAACTAAATCTCTTTTCCGATTGAAAATAAACTTGTCGACAATACCATCATTTTCCTCACGAACGACAGAAAAAAAAAAGAAAAAAGGTGCCAATTCAAGTCGGATGAACATCCGATAGCTTATAAACAACTAGACAAAAACTTTTTTTTCTCTAATCTTCATTTACAATTAACTCACAAATTAGAATATCAATTTAATTTTGTTATTAGTTTCTTAGAAAAAAAAAATCTACAAATATTTCAATATCAATCTGCACCATAAAGTAAATTATTTAGATACGTTGGATAATAGATGAGTATCATTTGTGGAGGAAGGAACTTTTCTTTTCTTGATATTCTCATTAGTCATTGAGTAACACTATTAAATAGCACATAAACGGATGCGAAGAAAGCTTTGTGAAAATTAAGGAAGTTATTGTTCTCATCCTTTTCTTCTGACTATTATTTTTCTTTTATTTTCACTAATTCATTAAAAAAAGGGTGTATGTGTTAATTTTCTTCTGATCTAAAGTCACACCCACACCCTCAAGTCTGATTATGAGAGTGATAGATTTTATCAGCATAGACACTAAGCATTTACATGTCAGTCGGTTATCTAAGTCATGGTATGATAGGAAATTTGGATGTTTTGAAAAACAAGACAATTGAAAATAAGATACACACAAAAGCAGTCGTATATATTGTTTATATCCAGGATTAAAGTCTCTGTGGTGACTAATCTGAGAAAAAACATTGTTTTTTTTATATCTCACAGTCATAATAGTGATATACTTTGAACAACAGTTCTGATCAGTCTAATTCGATATCGATATGGCAACAGGCTATGCGCTGGAAAGAGATGTAAAAATTGCGATGCTCGAATCATGCTTCAAAATGGACAACTTTTTCATGGTATAGACTTGCCCGATCCGATAAAAATTTCGTTTACAAAGATGTCTTCTAGTTGTACTTGAAGATGATTTCACCATCTTTGAAGAACTTGATACATGTAAATGAATATAACATGATATAACTTTCTGAAGACTTCTTACAAATGGAATCTGAAAAGGATAATCAATACATAAACAATTTTTTTGACACTAGTTAGAAACTTATCGATCATTTACAACTCTATTTTGTGCTATGAAAAATTAAGTCTTGAGTCGAGCTTTCATTCTAATTCTTTGTTTCGTTGTGATTTCTAGTTTATCTATTTATAAATAAATATCAGTAGGACTCATTAGTGTAATTGGTAATCTTTCATGTATACTATTAATTCAATAAAAATTATTACATTTCAATTCATTTTTCAGAAAAAGAATATCAATAAAAAAAGTTGTTAGCACAAACACTGTGAAATTAAAATATGGAAAAAAAAGAAACTGTGATGTGGTATAAAAAATAAAATAATCAGTATATGTTTCAATTTATGAATCTGTACCTATTGTAAATAAATGACGATTGTGAAATGTATCGCTTCCAATATAGTGCAATGAATATGAAGGAAAAATAAAGGGCAATTATCATACTAAGCTCAGTTCTTACATAAGAAGCACAGCAACAAGATTCAAGTGTATGGATATTGCTGGAATAAAATTTGAGTTAGCATCTGTTCGAATCGAAGCCAGGAGCTGATAGAGTCCAGATTCAGTTTTTTGTTCTTCGGGTCCACGAGAATGTACATCTGCAACTCAATAACTTCAACAGTCCTTTTAGATCGTGTTTAACAAAATTTTTAAAAAAAGTTGTTTTATTATTCTTTTGAAAAAGCTTGTTAGCGCATAGTCTATTTAGTGTCGATATATGGAACTCATATATACCACATAAGATAGAATAGTTGCTAAGATCTATAATGAAAAGAGGAGTCGAAAACCTTCGATTTAAAATTTACACTCATTATATTCTTCGAAAATATATGAAAGTTCTACAAAAAACACTTTTACATTAATTTAATAGAGTTGATTGCCTAATATATTTTTCTGTTTATCATGAGATAAAATCTTAATATCATTTTGGTCATTAAATAGATGTATTAATTGTAATTATTATTTATTCAACATTTTCAATAGATAAATTTGGAAATAATTTTAATCAGTCAGATTTATGTTAAAAGACGTTTGCATTAATCTTACAACCATTAATTTGTAATTCGCCGTCTCTTCTTTCTTATATAAAATATATTCATTTTGATGGAACAAATTCAAATTGTTATAATGTTATTTATCACTTTCTTTTATTTTTTTTATCATAATCAACAAATTCTTTGTTTTTCTAATCTTAAATTTTTGAAAAAAATGTCGAAAATCAATTATGATTTGAAAGTAATTTTAATCTAATTCGAAAAATAGAATAAATCGATAAAATTCGAGAGTTTTTTATTTATAGAAATCTTCTTCAACAGGTCTTTAAATTACCTGTCTGACACAGGCTTATCGAAACTGGAACTAATTTTTTTTTGACCGACTACCAGAATCAAGATTAGGAATCAGAGAGAAATCTAGATCTAAATGAGATGTGGTGTTACTCTATGGGATTCTAAACAAATCTTTTTACGAAAACCTCAACGATATTATGGATATATCACATTTATCTGGTCCAGGTAACAGCAAGATAAGTTTTATCAATTGTTTCTTATTTACTGACGAGAAAAAAGTTGAAAAAAAATTCGTTTGAATGCCTCCTTATTCTAACCCATATGCTTTTGCTAGAGTTTAAGGGCACTTTATAAAACGTGTTGGAACGGACATTTTTTCATTAAAAACGCAAACAATCAGTTCGCGAATTACTTTCTTCTTATAACTAAATTTCGACACTCATCTGTTTATACTCGTATCACTGTAGCTGTAATGTTAGATGTACAGTTTTTTAGATAAAATTTATACAAAGTTGAGATTCACGCATATAATTTTTTAATTGATCAACATAAAATAAAAGTAAGACTTCTTTGAAAATTTTATCCAACGGATATATTTAATAAAACAACGTTGTCTAGTCTTGATTGAACTGCATTGTGGTAGGACATTATTATTTCAGCAATCAGAGGTCGAAAAAATAGATGAGGTGCAGTATTTCACACTTGTAGCAATAGTAAAATAAGTTTTTTTTAGTTTGTTATACAAGTTTCATTCAATTACTATAACTTTCATGGATTTGAATAGTATCAAACACTGTATCACTAGATCATGTAAATATAATATAACAAAAACAATGTGATTTGGAACGCTGCTTCGAACGAATTTCTTTTTTGCGAATATTTCCAACAATTTGTCAACGCTAACGAGAGAATCTTTCCAGATTCTTCATTCTAATAGCAATGATTGTTTTGCCTGTAGTTATTAAATATTGATTTATTGATAAATCTCAACATATTTGAGTGTCTATTGAGATTTGATGGAGTTAGCGAGTTTGTAATATGGATTGTTCCAAATAACTCTCAATGACAACATCTTCACAAGAAACTCATATTTTCGAATTTCGTCTTTGAACTACTTCTACGTAAGTTAATCACATATCCAACATTGAATATACAGTGTCAGAATTTGAGATTCCACATATTCGAATTAAGACGTTTTTGAACAGTAATTATTTTTAAAAGAGTATTGCATCCCGGATATATGATTGTGTCAAATACCTGAGATATAAAGTGAGGTCTCTGAAAATAAAAATAAATTATATGTATGAGAGTAGTAGATTAGATATTCTATTTACCATGTTTTTTTCGTTGATTTAAATAGTTGATACATCAATTGCTGTTCTGATAAATGTCAATTAACACACATTCGGCTCGATATTTCTGATGATAATTCGCCTATTGAACGATTGTCAATTGCTTTTTAACAACTGATGTATTTTGAACTACGATCCAAGTCAGATATTGAAACATTAACAAAATCAAATAGAAACTGATTTGAAAAGTCGAGATGAATTCATTATGATTAACTTTTCATCTTTATTGAAATCATTTAGAATTTGATGGTACAAAATAAATTGTTCTCTTAGTATGTTTGATATTTCTTCTGTACTCTCTCTAAACACAAGTTCTTCCATTGTTTTTTTTTGCGTTGAAAACAAGTACAAATCTTAAACTATTTTCTTTTTCTAGTCTTTTGCAGAACATTAAATTAACAAATTCCGCTAGCATTCAGTTTGCAACATTATCGTACTCTTTAAGCAGATCACTTTAGATTGACTCTTTGACCTTCTTATATGGAAAAAAGCTAAGATTCTCATGTGTTAGCAAACGATGTACACTTTGTTTCAATAGCTAGTTTTCTTATTGACAGCTATTTTTTGAATAGCAGATGACATTTAAATTTTTAGACAGTCAGTTTTGTTTGAACTGAGTCTGAACGATCGAAAACAGTGTAACAACTCTATAGAGACAGTGTTGGTGATCATTTTTTGTTTAGAATTTAATTGTTTTTAATGAAACTATTGCGGATAAATGACGATAAAATTTTGCTGATCCATAAAAATTTTCCTATTTGATTTTTACAGCTTTTTTGTACATCCATAATCTTCACTTTTTCAACATATGTGTAAAACAATCTTTGGTTCTAATCATGTATGATTTTGTAGAGAATTTCAAACGCAATCTTTTGATTAGGGTGATAGTGTGTGTGTGCTTTGATATTCACTGCACTCTCGTCTACGTCCACGTTCTCAACTTCAGAGAAAATTGATTTCTAATAGGAACAATTTATTTGAAGAGTGATTTTCTTGTGTCTTTTTGTTTTTCTACTAACTCTAGGTACCGAAATGGCATTATTTGACTTTAAAAGTTTTCGTTCATAATGATTTCGA